ACTTGGCCACATTCAAACTTGGCATTGTTATTGTTCAATGCATATCAATAAGAGAAAGAAAACCAGTTAACAAATAACGAGAATGAAATCTATGGGCTCTGCCTTTGCCTTTGTGACATGCGTAGGCAGACATTAGAATCTTTGGGTCCTATCCATTTAATTCCTTGAAGCTTCTCCCATTAATCATTCTTTTTATGTTCAGATAATCCTTCATTGACTTCACCTTAGTAGGAACAATCTTAATCTCTTCATTGTCCACATTAAATCTAAGATAGACGGACTTGGTAGCAAATTCACACTTATCTTGATTAAGTTGGAGTTGAAGTTGTTATAGTAGATAGAACACTTTCCTAAGATGCTCTTCGTTATCTTCCCATGATCTACTAAAGACTGATATTTTCCCAAGACCAAAGGTAGCAAAGGCATGACCAGCCACTCTTTTAACCCTTGTCTTGCATATCACCTTCCATGTTTTCATCTCATAACTATATTTGATATTCTATTTTGATAAAGACGGTGGCAGCTTGAGGCATTATGCATGAATGGACAAAGGACTGCCAATTATTACTTGAACAATGCTAAGCAGAACGATCTCATATAGAAACTTATCAATGGAATCCTTGGTGATTACAAACTTCAACCGACACTTGCAATTAATCTTCAACTCAAACATCTTTGGATCCACCCCAATGGCCAATAATTAGTATTGAATCGAGTCTCAAAACCCAATTTCCAAACAAAGTTTGACAAAAAAAAAACTAAATTATTGTGGTTTTCGGCATCAATGATGGCACTGTCCTTGAGTTAAACAATTGTGCTCATGTGTTTATATTGGAAGGCAATGCCCACATCATGATATCCTTCATCATTTCTATCAGAGAAATAAGACCCACCTTAACCAAGATAAACTTGGCCCAATGTTGTTCACCACCACAATAACAATTTTACCTTTTGCTAGAATTCTTTGGAGTTAGAATTCTTCCAAGTTTCGAGAATAAGCTCAAGATGCACCTTACAACATTTTCGATATTGTGGTTGAATATCTCAAAATGGTAAAAATTTTCTTGAAGCAACTGCATTTGTTGGGCATACTTCAAAACATTACCTAGTGTTTTTCCCTTATTTAACACTGCCGTTGCCGGTCCCAAGCCCGGATGAGAAAAGTGGAGGGTTGCGTTAGGTAGTCGACAGCCAGCGTAAAACTTGTCGAAAAAATCATGACATGAATCCTTTTGATCATTGTGTAAGTGCTAGGGCGTCCCCTGGAAGCGACGCGCTGTATAGCCTGAATACAGTGAAAAGTGTGCAAGGGCCGCTACACCGGCGCCCGAGTGTAATGTTAAATAAGCAAGGGTTCCCACATTACGGGCGAATGCGGGTAAAGAAGTTAGTCCATAAAACTAATGAAACTAATATTAGGATAGAACCTTGGAATATAGGCACTCTCAATGGTAAATTAATGGAATTAGTTGATATTATGATTCATAGGAAAATTAATATCTTATGTATTCAAGAAACTAAGTGGGTGGGAGAAAAGGCTAAGGAGATTGATAATTTAGGTTTTAAACTTTGGTATTCTGGTAAGAGTCGCTCTAGAAATGGTGTAGGTGTAATTATAGATAAGAGTTTGAAAGATAATG